GGGGGGGGGGGGGTGTGGCATGATCACCGGTAGGCTCTGCTTGTGCACTCAGGTCTGAAGTGGCCAGATGCCAGTAGCCTCAGGGGAAGTGGGGAGTGTCATGGGCACTGATGTGACACTAGCTCTGTCCTATGCTGAAGATGACCTCAGGCAGGGCCCATGCCTCAGCACATGGGCTGAGCCCCTTGAAGGAGTGGTGTGTGGCACCCGATGCTGATGCTGGTTCGGCTGCGTGGAGGGGGTGGGAGAGGGGGAATGTTTCCTGGCTATAGGCATGGAGGTGGGTAGGGGGGAGCCAGGGCTAATCACAGAGACTGACTTACCACTGCTTCCTGCTGCAGCAGCAGCCCAGCTTGGACCAGGGCAGCCCTAGGGGGTAGCGCCCTCCATCTCCCACCTCCAGCCCCACACGGGGGCCATGGTTTGCAGGCAGACTGTAGCTGGGGCACAGCTCCCTACAGCCCTCCCTCTCCCAGCAGTGGCAGCAGAGTGCGTGGGCCTGCCCCAAGTGATGGATGTCTCATCTCCACCTGCTGCAGGTAGTTTGCTTTGCCACTGCTGCTGGGAGAGGGAGGGGAATGGGGAGCCGTGCTCCAGCTGTAGTCCACCTGCAAACCACAGCCCCCATGCGGAGCTAGAGGTGGGAGGTGGCAGGAGCTGACCCCCACCACCTAGGGCCACCCCAGTCTGGACTGCATTCCTACAGCAGGAAAAAGCAGTGAGTCAGGCTACGTGATTAGCCCCGGCTCCCTCCCACCCCACTCTGCACCTGCATCCAGGTCACATCCCCCGTCCCTCGCCCCTACCCCCTCTCCATGGCCAGACCTGCATTGGCATCAGGTGCCACTCACTGCTCCTCCAAGGGACTTGGCCCAGGTGTTGCAACACGCACCCTGCTTGAGGGGATCTTCAGCATGGGACAGAGCCAATGCCATGTCTGTGCCTGCACTGCTGCCGCCTGCAATGGGGGAATTAAACCCCTTCCCATTCCCTTCAGGGTACTGGTGTCTGGCTGCCACTGCTCTGGAGGCACAAGCAGAGCCTATCAATGCCCGCACCACTCCCATTTCTTCCTGCTTCAAATTTCTATGCCATTTATCACTATCAAAACCTTCCTTTTCTTTATTTTTAAAGTGCAGGAAAAGCAAGACCAGCTTTCACAAGTAACTACACAAGAAAGAATGAGGAAGAAAGGAAGCAAGCATTATATCAGTGCCACATGTTTTAGTTGGATCTGTCCCCTTCCAACATCAAAACTTGTAAATGTTGATTTAGTCTTACCCAACACAAGCAGTGTGTGTGCATACGTGTGTGTGTGTGAGAGAGAGAAAATAAATGTAGTATATTTATATGCATATGTGTAAAAATACTTGTTTCTGTTTCTTAGATAAAACCCTGTATCAGTTTTACCCTCTTTTGATAAAACTTTTGCTCAGTTTAGTGCAACGATGGATGGAACTTTCGGGATAAAAAAACAGCAAAATGTTGTTTAATTTTGTCATGCCCCACATGATCAGAGGTCAGGAAAACAGACCCTACGATGACAGACTGAGAGCCATGGGGCTCTTTAGCCTGGAAAAGCGCAGGCTCAGGGGTGATCTGATGGCCACCTACAAGTTTATCAGGGGTGACCACCAGTATCTGGGGGAACATTTGTTCACCAGAGTGCCCCAAGGGATGGGGTGGTTGAACGGTTATAAACTACTGCAAGACTGTTTCTTCCTTATGGGCTAGACATAAGGAAGAATTTCTTTACTGTCCAGGCCCTCAAGGTCTGGAACAGCCTGCCATCGGAGGTGGTTCAAGCACCTACATTGAACACCTTCAAGAGTAAATTGGATGCTTAACTTGCTGGGATCCTATGACCCCAGCTGACTTCCTGCCTTTTGGGCGGGGGGCTGGACTCGATGATCTTCCAAGGTCCCTTCCAGCCCTAATGTCTATGAAATCTATGATGCAAACTGAAGTGTTTCTGCGTTTTTACTACCTGGAGATGGATATAAACGATTTTTGTAGCTTTGATTTATTGGGAAAGGCAGATGTCTCCTTGGTGACAGTTTCTGTCAATCTTCCTCTTGTCAGGTACTTTTTTGCAAGTAATCTGACTGAAATCAATTAATTCATGTGCTACAGTATACCTAATACCATAAGAAAAGCACAGTCTGAAGGAGGATAGCAAAATGAAAACTTCCACAACAGGAGAGTAATTGCAAATGGAGTTGCACAAGGGAGCCTATACAGGAGCTTATTCTTCATAGGTATGAAGATAAATGAATAGTAACAAAGAGAAAGTACTGGCTGTGGATGACCCATGGAGCAATTTGGTAGTTTGCAAGTGACTCTACTTCAATTCTGTCATAGCTCTCGAACCATTATTTCATTTAGCCTTTTTACGGAAGTCCTGAATAATGTTAATACTTTCTCTTTTTTTCTTTTTTTCAGAGCGCTTTAATCTAAATATGCAGCTCTTATGTGGATTCAGAATATAGTTGTGTCAAAAGGTTAAATCCCACATGACCTGTGAATGTGGTCCAGAGGCCTGCAGCATGTCAAAGAATACCAGCAAAAATGCAATAGACAACCTGAATTTCTTAAAGGGAATGCAACAGAAATTTTTCTCTTTCATATAGCTGGACAACTTGGCTACATGCTTTTGACCTCCGGTTAATTTAATGGAGATCTGCCTGTCAGGATATCAGTTGACTTTATAAATCTTGAACCTTTGTCACAAATGTGCCTTTGAACTTACAGCAAAACATTTTATTGTTTAGAAAACTCAACTATTAAAAAAAATAACCATTGAAGAATCATGTCCAAAAACTTGGAGATCATCAATTTATCATTTTTGTTGGAGCATGAGAGGGAAATGATAATGGGCGTCTTGAAGAGAGATGAATATCTGAAAAGAGTTGAGGATAAAAGGATAAGGTAACTGTTAAAGCTTTTTAATTATTTTTTTCTGTTGGTTAAAGTGTTCTTAAGGCATTGCTGATAAGTGCCAACACAAGGGTTTCCTGCCTCAGCTTGGAGCCCTGAATTTCAGGAGTGACATCAGTGACAGAATCCAAGGGCCAGACCGAGTCCAGACATTCAGTGCCTTGATGGTTGTAGCTTCTGCCAGAGAGTAACAGATAAGAACTGCTGACTGCCTAACGCCTTAGCGAGGGCACGTTTCTGTCAGGGTGATGTCCCTTAGTCTTTCCCCAACCAAAGAGTACCCACAAGGCAGTGTGGGGCCAGGGTTTTGAGGTGCCCTATACTCACCTTTCTCTGGAGGTTGCAACATTGTGGTATTTTATAGGAGCTACCCTGCCAGAAGTAGCCCTGCCATGTTGCCGCAAGGTCCTCCAGTTGATTGGAGTTTATAGTCACTCCCAGTACCAAAATTTGAGAAGACTGACTTTGAAATAAACATGTACAGTATATAGTAATTTATTTCATACAGAATGCATGTATGTTACCTCTTTTGAAACTGCTGCACGTTTTATCACAGGTACTCCATAAGCACATTTCTAAGCAGCACTTTTGTACCTACTTACATATAGTACAAACTATGCAAGATTAGGGACCTACTTAATTTGCAGTTTTGTGGATATTGTGGAAACCACGAAAATCCAGGGTTCTCCATTAAATCTATCATATATCCTATTCAGACGGGCTATCCTTGTGATAAATTGTTTGCTACACAAACTTGAACAATTGACTTTTGCTCAGTCAATATAATTCAGAAATGATTTGGCCCAAGACACGATTTAAAAAAATAAATCAGTATGCTTGTCTAATATGGGCTATGTATTTTGTAGTCATGCTCAGTGTGAGCTCCATTTAATCAACTTCATAATTGGTTTCCATTACTGAGAACGTGCTGTTTTTGGCAGCAAAATAATGATAGGTAATGTATTTAATGAGCTTTCCTTGTATACAGATGTAAGATGAGGAGCTTTTTCCTCCATGCTGATGGGGGGAGAGGGGGAATCCTCACCTTATATTCAAGTAAATATGGTATTAATCATTTTATGCAAGGCTAACCTGCAACACAGTGCCAATGCATGCTTAGAATTAATGACATCTAGAATTATAGCATTCCTTGGACAGCTGCCACTACTGGCTTAATAAATTTGTAAAACATTTAAAATGTGATAGAGTTATGATATAATTAAATTTGATATTGCTTTGGAAAATGTGTATAAATTTCCCTGACTGATGCTAATTCCAATTTTTAAGATCCAAATGTTCCTCTTTTATTCAGTCAAAGGTTCAGTTAGACTCAAAGCAACAAAATATCTGAAACGTGTGTGCGCGCGTGTGCCTTGAATGCAAAGGCACTATTTAAGTGTTAGCACTGAATTTAGTAAAACAGAAAATAGGTTTGTTATGATTATCCAGCAGAAAGAGTGCTTATTTTTTAGTATGTTACTGAGTTCATATTTGCATTGAGCACTTAATTCTCAACTCTAACTCTGAGAGCACTTATAAAAATGCTTGGCAAATGTTTCTGTATTTGGTTGATTAGAACTATTGCAGAAATATTGGCTAATCTGGTAATCTGTCTGAATTTACTTCATGTAGACAGAACTATTTAATGAATTTATTCTGGGATTCTCTGGGAAGGAGGGTGTATTTTCTGTGATTGTTCAGAGTAAACAAGGGGCAGAGAGAGAGAGAGAGAGTGTGTGTGTGTGTGTGTGTGTGTGTGTGTGTGTGTACAATATGAAGCATCAGCAAGGAATGATCTGTGTTGCTTTATCTCTACAATGAGACTTTAAGGCCCCTGATTCCCATTACATTTAAGACATGTTTAGTAAATTAATTGTTCCTTTAATACTAACTGGCCACGCGTGCATCTACATTTTAAGGCATTATTATGCAGTAAACAATCCACAGAGTTATTCCATATATAATGACATAATACATATAATGTGGAATAACTTTGTGGCTTGTTTACATCATGCTTTAAATTGAACATGTGGCTGGGACTTATCTAAACCCTGTGTGCTGACCAGCTAGGAGATCCATGGGATTCAGAGAATCAGTGATTCAGCCATAGACACAGCTTTAAATGTTTTTTTCTAAATACCTTGAGGTACCAGGCGTGGCTCATGAACATTGCAATTGTGGGGCAGATGGAGCATCCCACAGGAGCGTAGTGGGGGACCCCATATGCTCGGCAGTATTTCCGGTCCACTTCCGGGTTTCCTGGGGAGTGTGCTGCCCCCCGCCCCGTGCCCTACTGGCTCAGTGATCAGCCACAGGGGAACGCCAGGTGCCCCCCCAGACCCAGGAGGCACCAGTCACTGATCTGGGAGGTGCGGGGGGTGTGTGGGGGCAGCACACTCCCAAGCGAACCCAGAAGTGGACCAGAAGTACTTCTGCCAAGCATGCTGGGAATCCCCTCGCGCTCCTGTGGGACGCTACCTCCGCCCCAACATTGCAGCACTCCACAAGCCATCTGGTGCCTTGAGGAAAAAACATTTAAAGCTGTGCCTATGTCCGAATGGTCAAATCTCTCTGAATCAATTCGGAGGGTTCCAATTTGATTTGGAGAGATTAAAAGGTCTCCTGATTTGATTCGGACTCAGAGATTCAGCCACTGAATCAGGCTGAATCTCCGCTGAATTGAATCGGGGACTGAAGCTTCTCACAGCCCTACAACATATCCATGGCAAAGAGATCTTTTTATCTTTAGCTCAAAAACAGACTTTTCAAGATCATGTTTAGTGCTTGGAATTCCAGTTGGTACAATCTGTTGCATATCTTACTGAAGCATTCCATAGAAGAATAGAGATTTGTTCCTCAGATTTATTTTCTGTTCTGGAAAGACACTACCTTTGCACAGTATCTTTTGTCCCTCAAGAATCTTGTCCTGACATTTGTTTGCTTTCCATTCCTATTAACATCCAGAATTTATAGAAGCCTTACAAAGCACATTCCCCCACAAGGCAAAAACAGAGAGAATAGAGAAACACATGGGGGGAGAACTATCAAGCTAATAAGAGGACTGATATTTGTATATTAATATCACTCCTACATCATGTGCTTGCAGCTGAAACATAATTACATGCTTTTAACATACGAAAGTGAATGCTACTACTGTAGTTTGGAGTGCTGGGATATTTTTACTCAGGCAGATAATTTCATGCACATAACAGGAAAATGCAGAAGAGAACAAAATGCTTTTTTCACTGTATTATTATAATTGGTTAATTCTGATAGATAATACTGATCCTATATAAGGCCCTACATATTTTCTTGGCCTCATAATATATACATAAAGTAACTGGAAATATCGTTTTGATAGAATATAAAATTAAAGGAGATATTGGATTTTGTGTGTAAAAGCAATCTTATTTTTTTTAAAGAAAATCTTGGCATAAAATATTTTTAACATCACCTTATGATATGACCACTCTAGTTTTTAGTATTCTGAAGTAAAGAAATACATCAAGGTACACAAAGTCAGAGGAGATAAAAAGAATGAATATGGGTTGGGAGGAAGGTGTAGTTTAAATAGACCTGTGAGGAGCATGTTTCCAGTCTGTATATAATTCAAGGCCAACCCTAAAATATAAGGAGGTTTTGTTTCTGTTTCTTGTCCTTAAACACTTTTGTTTTATTTTTTTATATGTTGTTTCTCTTCTAGACTTTAAAAACATATTCCTGTGGAACAGTAGAGCAACAGTCTTTTTATTATTATTATTTTTATCTTTTTGTTTTATTGTATTCTTTTCTTATCACATTTTATTAGCTTATTTCAATTTTATATCAAAATAATTTTGCGATGAAATAGGGAAGTAAAAATGTACTTTGAATATTCTTTTCTGGATTGTTTCTGTTCCAAATGTAAGCTGCATCTATTTGGTGTGTGTGGCTTGGTCATTGTGGTGCTCATCCCCATCTCTGAGTGCACTGTCTTACAAAAATTGTCTACAAGTAACTTTCTACATTTAGAAAAATCACTTCAACCTATTGCTGATGCAGAGCCATTGACGTAAAATCAATATTTGCACAACCCGCTGTATCTTAGTACTTTGCACTACAACTGAGTTTCTAAATCCCATGGAGCTTTTAAATGCAAAGCTTCTGTTTAACTTTTAAAGTACTGAATCCTTCTGTAAAATAAGAAAAGAAGAAGAATGGAATAATTGATGAGCACAGAAAACAAAAAAGTGATTCTTTTTATTTCACAATGTATTGCTTTGTTGGTTTTTCCTTGTATACACTAATTTCCACTCTGCCTCCTAGAAGCAGTTTAACTAGCCATGTTCATTTTAGGACTGCTCCAGCCTGGGTGCTGTCTTATCAAGGATATGAATAGTTTGGTCCTTTTGGATAAATAGTATAACTCCTTATCGATATAAAAGCTCCATAGCTACAATTAAAAATATAAGCACATCCTAAATATAGGAGAAATTTCTGTCTCTGATACCACCCTGTGGTTACTCTTGGCAAATACTTTGAAAAAAGCTGAAAATAATTTTGAGAAACTGTGTATGGAAATTGGCTTTCCAGCTGATTGGGTATTTGGAGAATTTTGTAAAGGTGTAACTACCATAAATTATTTGTGGACTGCATGCATTAGATATATTGTACACATTTTTGCAAGACTTTATAGATTGTTCTCTGAAGAAAATATATCTTATGCGATAGCATATTGCTCATGATACGTTCATGGGAGGAGTGCAGGCTGCTTGTTTGGCAGCTATCACATCTGACAAGTAAATTGCTCCATTTAATTCATTACTGTTTGAAACAAGAAACTTCAAATGTAAAAATAGTTACCATCTTCAGTACCAGAAAAGCAGATGCTTCTGCTGTTATCCATTCTGCTTAAAGATGAGGGATCCTCCATTTGTAAACTAATTAATAACTGTTGTGACAGTGACTCATTCGGCTGCTCTTATAATGGGTACAATTGATCGTAGCAAAAC